TCCAGCACCACAACTCAAAGACATCAGTTCTTCTTCTGTCATCTTTAGTTATTGTCCAGCTATCAGATGCATAGCAAGCAATGGAGAAGACCATATTGGGAAATTATTATTTGAGTAAATGTGTAGACCCACCTAGTACTTCAGAGTGAACAAGATACTTACATTTATTCAAATAAAGATCAAAAGAAAAATAAGAGAGACTGCCTTTTAAAAATTACCTCAAGTGGTGTAATTTTGGGGTGCACTCAAGCAGGAAAACCCAATGTCCATCAAGGGATCCATTCTAGGACTGGAGATTAAAGGAAAGTAGAGAGTAGACAGTCTTTTATATTTGCTTATAGAGACAACTTAGGTTCACATGATGAATTGTTAGATACAGATACTGTCAAGCTGTGTACGTCTCATAGTGATCCTATAAATGACAGATCTAAACCCTATCTTATCCTGTGCCATTCTTACCACCCCTGGCACACTTGAGCCCATTGCTCAAGTTATCACTAAATGATAGTATCAATCATTTGACACCATCTCTCTTGGAAAATTGCACCAAAGAAAGGAGACTGAATTAGACATGCTCTACTGGCACTCAATACTCTACCACACTCCTCTGTATATATGCTAAGGAAAAAGTTTGACTGATTCTGTAAGCCATTGTAAATTGCTGCAGTCTGATGGCTTGTTCTCAACTGGACATTGTTTATAAATGTGATGTCCAAAGTTCCAACCAAGACAGAAGATCCTGAGAGAGAGATATTGCAGCAATGACACAACGGTGAATTCAAACACAGTAATAGTCGTGCGGATGGAAAGGACTAGGTGGCATTTTGTTCTGGTATAAACAACACTGCTCAGTCTGAGCTGGCTCTATAAAGTATTTTTGAATCTGAACTGATGCAACACAATAGCATTTGAGTAACAAGCTTAATATGCCATTTAAATATTTATTCCATAATTTCATTCTCTTTCAAACTAGCACATCTACAAAGACATTAAAGTGGCCACAAAGTATAATGTTTTTATTTGGTTTTCAGTGCTTAAGTCTTGATCCTTAAATCTCCTCATTCTACTCACAAATGTATAAAAACAATCATAATATCCTAAATTCTTAATGGAAAAATGGGAATATAAACCTACATACCTTTGAAGTTATTGTGAAAGTTTATTGAAAAGATATGTATGGGTGTATATATATAACAATTTATTCTTGAATGTAGTGTATATGTAACGTGGCTATGTGTTAAAGACTGTCAAATATAAAACATTTAGTTGTTGTTGTTAAGTGACATAAAGTCATAGGCGACTCATAGCGGCCTTATGAATGAAAGACCATAAAGAACACTCATTTAATTTTCATCATTTCTCCAGGTTCATAGAGTTTCCAGAGGCAAGTTATTTTGGAAGTGGATGCCACTCCTGCTTCCAAGCTTGTTTTAATCTGGGAGCTCCACCAAACACTGTCCACCATGGGTAACCATTTATCACATTTGACACATCAGTGTCACAGTGTTCAGTATCACAGCGACCACAAGTTACCTCTGTACAACAAATGGACATACCAGTGCTATACAACCTAGAAGAATGTTTGACTAAAACCAATTAAAATCAGGCTGAGGGCAGCAGATTAAAATCACCCACCTTTGACTTGGTAGCATTACTTTCTGTCCGCTAGGCCAACTGAGCTCTCCAGTTGTTGATATAAGTCTACTTCTATATGTTTTGTTGTTTGGTGTTATGAGTTGCTTACAACTCGACTGGATAGCACTTAACAACAAACAACAAAACATTCTGAAGTAGACTTATAAAGTGAAACTTAAAGAATTAAGAAGCTGTTAGACAATAATGGAAAGAAAGGATGGATGAGTTACTCAAATTCAAATGGAAATTTTTAAATATTAGGTCTGCCCAAGAACAGATTCAGATTAAAAGCTTTGACACCATGGAATTCACCACCAGAGCAGATATATAGGCAAAATGTACCCATAATCTATGAGCTTTCAATTTTTGCTCTCTGTGATTCAGCTATGGAATGGCAATAATGAGAGGAAGAATGAGTTTAAGACAATGAGATTTTTTTCAATTGCCATTAAAAATGTAAATTTCAACAAGGAGCTATAATAAAGAATGATTCACACATGAATATGAGTACATCTTTCATATGGCCTGGAGGGTGCTGAGAAACACTAGAGATCACAGAGTGAGCTCAAGGTGGATGAAAAGTCAAGCGATGGGCAAGATAATCACATGTTAAGAATTTACACAGGATTTAAAGCTGTGTATTACACCACTACCCTTTGAATTACCGAGATAAAGACCATCATTGCATAGTAAGATAAGTCATATGTAACACCAACCTTCATCCAGATATTGTATTGGACAAATCTACTGTAACAGTATCTCAAAACAAGTGTTACTTTGATGTCCAAGGTGCTTCTGATTCGAACCTTGGTATTTTTGATCACGTCTTATTGCATCTGAAAGTGGTGACCAAAGAGTTAAAACTTTTTTTTTTAGGTGGACTTTCCCCCTCCTTTTTAATCATGGTCCTGCTGAAGATTAGTGAATGTGCTGTAGACTACTAGAAGAATAAAGAAAATTGTTGTGTAGGAAATACAGCCTGAATTCTCCTTAGAGGCAATGATAAGCAGGTTACACTGTCATGATGATTCAGGTTCAGGCAATGTTTATAACCATGAAATTACTATAAATAAGAACTAATTGATTGTATCTAACAAAAACAGTAATCAGGCTATGCTCATTGTCATTTATAGCTTATGTAATTTCTTTCTCACAATACTACCTTGAAATTAGTTTCACTATCATCTTTATAGAAGAAGGAAACAAGGCTCTAAGAACCTACATTAGGTCAAATAAAAGCTAAGTTGCAAATGATACAGCTAATACAATTATCTACCTTTTCACAATATTGAACCTCTATTCCCAATGCTGTTTTCCCTTCAGAATTTTCTTGGTTGGCTGTTCCTGTACCTATTGCTGCATTATGCTACCATACACAATGTACATATATCTCTTGCTATGTTACTGAAAGAATTTGAAGCAATATAGACAATGAATAATCTTAAAAGTATTTCATTTCAAACCACTGAAGATACACGTTCTTAGCTTTGAAATGCGTTTCTCCAGCTAATATTTCTATTGACTTGAATCTATTAGTCTATCTGTGTCTCATTAGTTAAGCTGAGGTGTGGTTTAATCAGACTCATGGGCTTGTTGAAAGAAATGCATGACTGTGTGTGTCTAGAGCATTTTGGTTCACACCATGGTATTTTCAGTTGCTTCCTGTGCATCTGAAAGTTGGACAGTGAATAGGTATGACAGAAGACTTGATACCTTTGAATTGTGGTGTTGGAGAAAAATATTGAACATGGACTGTCAAATGAGAAAACAAACCTATCTTAGATAAGGTGCAATCACACCGCTCTTCAGAGGCAAGACGGGCAAAACTTTGTCTCACTTATTTGAGCATATTTTCAGGAAGAACCAATCAGACCTTCAGTGAGATTGATTGACACAGTGACAACCACAACAGGCTTGAGCAGAACAGAGATCATGAGGCTGGCACAGGATTGGGCGAGGCGCAGAGATGTCATTCATAGGGTTGTTTTAAGTAGTAGTTGATTCCCTGGCCCCTGACAATAACAACAACCACAGAGCAATGTGAACCTGTGGGTGGTAATAAGTTACCACTGATTTTAAGAAAACGGAATTCAAAGTTCATGTCATGTTATTCATGCCATCTTGGCCTTGTTATTACATTTTCTACAATCCAGAGCAGTAGACAATTTAAAAGACAAGTAGATTATACAGATTCAACAGTTAGTAACTGTGTAGATTATCTAGGTCCTAAATTTTACGCATTAAGCTCAGAATTTATGTATGGAAATTTTTATTTTTATCTTGTTTTTATTTATTTTATACTGGTTTACATACAAAGTTCATATACATTGTTTTCACACCAGACCTTTCCCCTTTATGGAAATTTAAAAAATACAAACTACTACTACAATAAACTGGAAGCAGGAGTGACTTCCACTTCCTAAACAACATGGCTCCGGAAACTCTAGGAACTTTGATAAATGTCAATAGTTATAGAAAGGCTTCAGACCTTTTGTTTAGAGGGTCACTATGAGTCGTGATTGACTCAAAAGCAATCAACAACAACTACTACTGTAATAAAGCAGTTCTTACGGTGTTTATACAATTCAATTTCACTACAAAGTGTGTGTGTGTGTGTAAGCGTCACACTGTTCATTTATTCTTTATTGATACAGTTTATCTCTTTATTCCCAAATAACAGCAATGGAGAACTGCACAGAAGTCACTCAGTTCACCCTGCTAGGATTGACCAGAGCTCCAGAGCTGCAGATCCCCTGCTTCACAATGTTCACTCTCCTTTACCTCACTGGTGTGCTTGGAAACCTGGGAGTAATTACGCTAATTCTGTCGGACTCTCGTCTCCACACTCCCATGTATTTTTTACTCAGCAACCTATCTCTTGTGGACATTTGTTACTCCTCAACTATCACTCCCTCTCTGTTGGCTGGCTTTCTTACAAGGAACAATGTCATCTCCTACAATGCGTGTGCTGCTCAGATGTTCTTTTTTGCAATATTTGCCACTTCTGAAAATTTCCTCTTGGCTTCAATGGCCTATGACCGCTATGCAGCAGTGTGTAAACCCCTACATTATACGACCACCATGACGACAGGTGTGTGTGCATCTCTGGCCATAGGGTCCTACCTTGATGGTTTACTGAATGCCATCATCCACATTGGGAACACATTCAGTCTCTTGTTCTGTAAGTCCAATGTGATCCATCACTTCTTTTGTGACATCCCAGCACTCATGGTTCTCTCTTCTTCTGATAGACATGTTAGGGACATGGTTCTCATTTTTTTAGCAAGCTTTAATATCTTTGTTGCACTTCTGGTTATCATCATATCTTACCTGTTCATATTTATGACAATCCTAAAGATGCACTCAGCTGAGGGATACTGGAAGGCTTTATCTACTTGTGGTTCTCACTTCATTGCTGTCTCCATCTTCTACGGGACAGTCATCTTCATGTACCTACAGCCCAGCTCCAGCCACTCCATGGACACGGCCAAAATGACATCTGTGTTCTATACAATGGTCATCCCCATGCTCAACCCTCTGATCTATAGCCTGAGGAACAAGGATGTCAAGAATGCTTTGAAGAAGGTGGTTGAGAAGACCAAATTCTGTGTATGCTTACTTTTTTAATGTTGTAGAATACACAACAAATTAGAATCGCACACAAATCTTACCAGCACAGTGACTCACACTTCAATGCCTTCAGTTCCTCAGTTGATATACTTTCCTCTTCAAAATTTTATTCTTTAGGAAAAAAAATTAGTAAACTAAGACAAAAATAATCACTGTGTCCAGAAAAGCAATACAAGAACAGGACTGGCTGAGGAGAATGTAAAAGTATTTCTGTTTTGGCGAGCTCTGGTGGCCTAGTGGCAAGAAGCTGCACTGCAATCCCAAAGGTGCAGTCAGATCTGATTGGATGGTACACACAAAATAATAATAATAATAATGATAATAATAAATTTAAAAAAATTATTTCTGGTTTGCACTTCAAACTCTATTTTAATGGCATTTGGTTTCTTCTCAAGTTCTTTATCACATGCCATTGCAAGCATATATGTCCAATACAAAAGTCCATTAATAACAACACATGCAAGGCTTCTGTGAGTTAACTTATACACAGGGTTGGTAATGATAATCTTTCAAATTAGGTAAAGGAAATGTCCCTAGTTTTAAATAAGGAAAATAAAAACCATGACTTGAAGAATCAGAGAATAAATCATGTCTAACTGTACTATTTTTCTTCTTCACTGGTTGAAAAGCTTTCAAGTGTCCAACATGTAGAAAAAGTTATGTTGTTGTTGTTGTTATGTGCCATCGAGTCACTTGCGACTCATAGCGACCCTATGTACAACATCCCTAAACCCTGCTCTGTCCTGTGCAAATCGCACCGTCTTCGACACACCCATCCCAATTACCCCAGTCACTGAATCATTCCACCTCACAGGGGGCCTTCCCCTCCTGCGCCGTCCCTCCACCCTCCCAAGCATGTTGTCCCTCTCCAAGGACCTATCTGTCCCTCCTTGCTACATGTCCAAAGTATGTCAGATGGAGCCTTAGAATCCTTGCCTCCAAGGAGCAGCCTGGTTTGACCCTTTCCAGGATGAATCTGTTTGTTTTCCTAGCAGTCCATGGTACCCTCAATACTCTTCTCCAGCACCACAGCTCACAGGCGTCAATTCTCCTTCTATCCTCCTTAGTCATTGTCCAACTCTCTGATGCATAACAAGTGATAGCAAAGACCATGGCCTGTATTAGGGGCACCTTAGTCTCCAAAGAGACACCATTGCTCTTCAGTACATTGGAGAGGTCCCTAACAGCAGACTTTCCCATGGCAATGCACCTTTTAATTTCCTGGCTGCTGGTGCTGAATAAGTTATAGTGATTTTTAAAATAAATATATTTTAATTCCTTTATTTGTTTTACTGAGTCTTATATAATGATGGCTTCTGGAAGAGACAAATTTTTTTATTTAGTAAGTAATTTACTAGAAACAATGTGGTCACATGATAATGTTAAAAAGGAAATAGTCAAGAGTTCATGAAAAGTTATTTGTAATGTTGTTGTTGTTATGTGCTGTCGTGTCACCTGTGACTCATAGTGATCCTATGTCCAACAGCTCTGAACCCTGCTCTATCTTGATCCAACCACACTGTTTCTGACACACCTACCCTCATTACTCCAGTCACTGAGTCAATCCACCTCAAAGGAGAGTCATTCTCTCCTTTGTTGTCTCTCCACCCTCCCAAGCATGATGTCCCTCTCCAAGGATTCATCCCTCCTTGCAACATGCCCAAAGTATGTCAGATGAAGCCTCAGAATCCTTGCCTCCAAAGAACAACCCGGTTTCACCCTCTACTGGAAGAACTTGTTTGTTCTCTTAACAATCCACTGTATATTCAATATTCTCCATCACCATGTACAGGCTCAGTTCAGAAAAGGCTGTGGTATTAGGGATATTATAGCTAATGTCAGATAGCTCTTGGCTGAAAGCAGAGTACCATGGAATGTCTGTGTTTCATTGACTATGCAAAGATATTTGACCATGGTCACAATAAACTGTGGCTAATGCTGAGAAGAATGGGAATCTAAGAACACTTGATTGTACTCATGTGAAACCTATACTTGGACCAAGAGGCAGTCGTCAGGATGGAGCAAGGAGACACTGCATGGTTTAAAATTGGGAAGGGTGTATGCCAGGGATGTGTCCTATCTCTGTACCTTTTCAACCTGTATGCGGAACAGATCATCTGGGAGGTTGGGCTCTTTGAGGAGAAATGCGGCATCAGGATTGGAGGAAGGCTCATCAATAACTTGCAGATGACACAGCCGAGCTTGCTGAAACCGAGGAGCACCTGATGTGTTTGCTGCAGAGGGTCAAGGACTGCAGCCTCCAATATGGATTGAAGTTCAACATCAAGAAAAGAAAGATTCTCACTACTGGGCCAATTGACAGCATTATGATAGATGGTGAAGAGACTGAAATTGTTGACAGCTTCAGTTGGCTTGGCTCCACAATCAACACTCTTGGTACCAGCAGCCAGGAAATTAAAAGACAAATAGCATTGGGAAAGTCTGCTGTGAGGGACTTTCCCAGAGTACTGATGAGCAACAATGTAAGTCTGGAGACTAAGATGCACCTGATCTAGGTCATGGTCTTTGCAATTACATGGTATGAATCAGAAAGCAGGACAGTGACTAGGGATGATAGAGGGAGTTAGTAATAGCAGGCATTTTCTTTTATCCATACATTATTAACAATTTGAGAATAATTGAGTGAGATGACAGTCTTAAATCTATGTCTCACAACAAATGATATAAAATAATAATCAATCCTTCATGGAAATGTTAGGTCTCACTGACCTTCATCTCTTATCAACTCCCAATGGGCTCCCAACAAAGATCCTACAAGAAAGCAGCTACTAATGAAAAAAATCAACAGTTCAAATCCACCAGCTGCACCAGCAGAGAAAGATGAGGGGGGTGTCTCCTTTCATAAAATTTGTATAGCTTTGGAAACCCCTGGGCAGTTCTATTCTATCCTATAGTGTCCCTATGCATCAGATTTGATTCAATGACAGAGAGGGAGTTTGGTTTTTTTAGAGAGTGGTGCTGCCAACCCTAACATCATCTCTCTGTGGTAGTTCGAATCCACCAGTGGCTCCTGGTAGAGAAAAATGGAAAATCTCTTCCCATGGGATTTATAGCCTCAGAAAACCTTTCCATGAAGAGTCAGCTATGAGTCAGTTCTGACAGACAGCTACGTGTTTAAGTACTTAGATAAATATCCAAAATGACCTGGAAGTTTTTGGGTAAGTGCCTTGGTATACTAGTGCAGATAGCATATTATAGCACAAACATCCACTTACAGTTCTCAAATACAGAAATCTGTCATATTTCTCCTTACATATTTAGTTATTACTTTAAATATCTTTTTAAATTTTAGAATAATTTTAAGTATTCAAAACACTTGTAGTGATGTCAGGGAAAGCAATATTTATCACACTCAGTTTCCATTTCCTTTCTTTTTTGCATCTTGCTTTGGGTGTACATGTTAAAAAGAAAATTTTCCAACTTTGGCACATTGCCATAAGTTGATTTTATTTGAACTTTCAAAATTTTTAGCAAGTCTTTTTTCCCCTTTTCAAATAGGCAATTCATGGTACAATGCTGCATATAGCTGCCAGGTTTCCTTGCCCTCCTCTGCTCCTCTTTGACAGTTCTCTGCCTTCTTCTTCTTTTTTTTTTTTTTTTACAGAGGATTTGGATTTCCATTCATTCATTGCCGCAATTTTCTCCCTTCCCACTCCTCCCCACCAGCTCGCTTCCCCCTCCGAGGAGATAAAAACAAATTCCTTCATTAGTATACAATTCCCACGTCTCTTCCTCCCACCCCCGACCCTGAGTACACTTCTCTATGCAACCTTAATTCTGGATTCCTGTGCTAACCATAATACTCAATCATATATCACTTCTAATCTGTTCTTTCCCTCATCTGTTTCAATACAATATACATCATTTATCCAGTTCTCTGCCTTCTTAATGACCATGATTGTATTGAAAAGTAATGGTTGATCATTTCAAGGAATGTCTTTTCATTTACACTTGTTTCAAAATTTATTCTTTATCTCATGCTTGTGTTAGCTTTATAGATTTGGGGAAATATTAAGAGATGCCTTTCCCATCATGTCATGGAAGGTTATCAATACTACCTACCATTGTTTCATTAAACTTGATTAGTTACGATATTTTTTTAGAACCTACATTGAAAATTTATTTTCTCCCTTTCTACTCTCCATCCTTTAGAAGTAAATTACAATACAGTCCACTCAGAACAATTAAAGACTATACTATTGTAGTTATTGTTGTGTACCATCAAGTTGGAACTGAAACATAGCTGACACTTTTAGCAGGTTTTCCAAGGCCATTAATTATGTGACAGAAGACGGTAGATTTGAACCACGTGCCTTAGGAATTGCAGCACAGGTTCTCACCACTAAGCCACCAGAGTTCCCTTGACTATATACTACATCTAATTATTTAGAATTCTGTGAAGAAAATATTTCTTTCTTTATAAGGAAGTATAAATTTTGTTTTATACTTCAAGATATGATTAAATAATGTTATTTATATGCTCAAATTCTTCCATATTTTTCATTGTCAGCACTAAGTGTGACTCTTGTGTCCTTTTGACACCGCCCAGTCCATTTGATTTTGTTGTAATTATTTTTCATTCTTCCTTACTTCGTAGAAGACAATTCAGGGTCTTTTTACTTTCTTAACCCCAGAACCAGCCCCTTCTAGCAAGAGAACCCTGTTTTCCTTTTTCTGAGAATAATATTTAGGAAATAAAATCTGGTGCTGAGTAGTTTCCTTGTAACTATGTGTAATTTCTAAGACCTTTATGCAAACAAAGCTAGAAAAAAATCTCTCTCTCTCTCTCTCTCTCTCTCTCATGATCTATATATCACTATGTTGTTGTTATGTGCCATTGAGTCAACTGGGAGTCATAGCAACTGAACTACAGCTCTGAATCTTGCCCTATCCTGAGAAGATCTCACTGTCTCCAACACACCTATCCCCATAACCACAATTATTGTGTCAGTCTGTCTCATCCCAGGTCTTCCTCT